GAGGCACCACTGTAGTTTAATCTAAATTTCTAATAACTATACTTCAGGTCCCAATATGTGTGCCAAAGGCAAGGATAAGGCTAGAAATAGGATGCCTAAAAGTATAAGTCTGGATTAGGATACAATCTATGTATATGTGGCTAAACGGACAGTTAAACCCAAAGGCCTATTTTCTTTGATATTTAATGATAATTATCAATCTAAGTGGGTCAAATCTGTCCAGGGTTACTTGGGAAAAATTTGCCTCTCACCCCAGCCACTTATATCCTCTGGAATAGAGCAGGCAAAACAAATAGTCAAGCAAAGAACAGAGGACCATGAATATCAAACAGACCACTCTAGCATTCAAAACATGGCAGTAAGGAGTTACATCAAAAACTGTATGGAACCAGCCAAATACTAAACATCTCTGGAAATTAAAGGAACTAGAAGAGTCTTTACCTTGGCAAAGTGTCTGGCTTTCCCCTCTGCTGTACTAGAAGGAAAGTATAAAAATACTCCTTTTGCTGAAAGGTTATGTTCTTGCCCCCTGAGGGAGATCGAGACCATAAAGCACATGTTTTTCACCTGCCCGTTGTATGATGTGGCACACAAAGAGATTATTACCCCCCTAATGGAAAGAATCCCAGGACGTTCAGAGGGAAAGAGGCGCGAGTTCCTTCTCTTGAATGTTGATATGCAGATCACCTGTCAAGTTGCCAAATTCTGTGTGGCAATACTTCAATTGCGGAAGCCAGACTCCAACTAGATAGTAGCTCCCAGCTGTATACGTGCTAACATGTTCTAATGGAATATTGAAAGTTAGAAATTATAAGGTTCTATACATATATGACTGGTCTATGGACTGTAAACAAACTGTTCTATTCTACATAGCATCTTTGGAATATTTTTCTTAATTAGCAGACAATTGTAGAGTGACAAGATGGGAGGATTGATTGAAAGTATGACAGGATATACTGCAGGCACCAAAGCAGTGCTAACACTGAGTAGGGCCATCTCCAGCCACAAAGCAAAAAACTGTAATTCCACACTTAAACAAATTAGCTCAGCATATTTGTTCTCTATTCTACCCACCCCACCCCACCCCACCCCACCCCGGTAGATCTCTGGTGTGGTATGAGTAGGGCCCAGCCACAAAGCAAAAAACTGTAATTCCACCCTTAAACAAATTAGCTCTGCATATTTGTTCTCTATTCTACCCACCTCACCCCACCCCACCCCGGTAGATCTCTGGTGTGGTATAGTGGAGAGACAGACTAGGACTCTGGAGACTACAGTTCACATCTCTGCTTAGTTATGGACTCTCAGTAGCAGTGTGGAATTGGTAAAACCATCCCTTAAATATCTCACTTACCTTGAAAGCCCTTTGAGAGTTGCTATAAGTTGGATTTTTAATGATACATAGCAACAACAATGCTCTCCTCTTGAAAGTTAGCTTTTGTTGTTGTTTAGTTGTTTAGTCGTGTCCGACTCTTCGTGACCCCATGGATCAGAGCACACCAGGCCCTCCTATCTTCTACTGCCTCCCGGAGTTGTGTCAGGTTCATGTTGGTTGTTTCAATGACACTGTCCAATCAGCTAATGGGTCCTAACTGATAGGGTCAAAGTTCAGATTACCACAGACCTGGACCTGATTTCCGCTTTGAAAAGTGTTGTCAAGAGCCTAGTCTCAGAAATCCTTTTACTGAAAGCATTCAGGGCTCGAACAAACACAACTGCTTTGTGCTTTTGTAATACAGAAATATTTTAAATATGCTGTACAAAATTGTATACTAATTCCCCACAGATACTAAATGTTCCTCTTTCTGGAGCACTGTCACTCATTACTTTCTTTAAAGTGAACCTGTTGTTTTTAAAAGCCTCGTGGCGCAGTGGTCAAACCACTGTACTGCAGCCAAAACTGTGCTCACAACCTGGGGTTCAATCCCAGGTAGCCGGCTCAAGGTTGAATCACTCATTACTTTCTTTAAAGCGAACCTGTTGTTTTTAAACTTCAAAGAAAATGTATTTTGATTATTTCTGTTACCTTTCATTGCTGTCCAGACAACTACTTTTCCAGCCCATGAAGCCTCAACAATGTATCTTCTTTGGAACATTCTTCCTTGTAAGCCTGTTCCATACATGCTCAGTTTGTAACCAAGCCACTGTTTTACCATTTTGAAAGGCCTTTTTGGACCTTCCAACTTGGATTCCTTCCAAAATAAAAAAAGTGGGTGGGCCCAACTATTCTTTTTCAAGATAAGCAAAATTGA